TGTAATGCGCGTCGATGGCTGTAACCCGCTACGCTTGCAACTGCGCTCCCATCTTGTTGTCTCGAACGCAGCCGCAAAAGGGAATCGATCTGAGCCGATGTACATTGGGCACCCCCCTGATCACGTAGTTGTTATCGATCGACACTGGCTGCTGGGGCAGCGCCGATCGATTCCCGTTTGAGTTACGTTCGCGTCTACAGGAGATGAAGGTCTAGGGATTGGAGCGCTGTCGCAAATGCAGTGCGTTACAGAGCGTTGTCGCGCGTCGGCGCTCGTGGCAGCGCTTGCGTTTCAGCGCTTCAGACTTTTTGCTACCTTACCTAAACTATGCAGTGCCATGATCTTTGTTTTGCCTGCTAAGAGTCTACAGTTTTCCCCAAAGGTAGAGGGAAAAAGCAAAACGCCCCTCTCAAGCCGAATCAGGGCACCCAGAATCTAATGGTCCCGGAACTGATATGCCGAAATGGTCCTAATGATTTTGATTTCAAAGTAATCATCTTTGTCATGGCTTTGCGAAATGAGCGAATATTGAAGAGAACGAAATAAGCGTTAACAATCGGGATAAAGGCACATCCAAGACTAACGTATGAGTCAGTCTGTACGTTTGTTGCCCACTCACTGCACATATCACGAACACTGCCATCGGCGCCAGCACCAACACAGCTACCGAGCATGCCTGAAATGCGCACATTAAGTCTGATTTGTTGAAAAAACTCAAGAAAACGAAGTTGCTGGGGGCAACAGTGCAGCGTGACCGCGCCGCGTCATGCCCGCTTGTCTGTGGTATAGGTTTGTAACACTGCAATTTGTCGAGGGCGGCGAGCGCAGCGCGGCACGAGCTCGCGTCCGGCTGCCTTACTCTACCAATGGTGACAATGGTGATCGAGCAATGATTTATGTAAGGAAGGAATCAGCTGCTGGTGGGAAGGCCGCAGGTGGGAACCGATAGGTCGCATGATATAAACTGTATGTGACAAGACGATCGTAACACTCGCCGCGCGCGGTGTCGCGCCCGCAAATGAGATGATTCTTGGTAGTAGATGGCGGCAGTAGGCAATGCGTGACGAAAAATAGGCATAAATGTATTTGATGTCGTAGTCTACATGAAGCCCGGTACTTCAGACGGCATGTAAGGATACACCGGCCTATTGCTACCCGCGGCGGACGGAGCGGCCAGACTACGATTGGTTTAACCGCCTCTGTGCTTGCCCTACACCCTTGCTCACAGAAATAAGCGAAGGCAGCGTAAATAGGCATTTCAGAAGATTGGCAGTGGCATTATTCACTCGTTAACGGCGCGCTCCTGGATAATCGGACCTCGTTTTGACCGAAATCTTCCCGCGAGGACAGATTCGGCGTTTCTGAGTCAAGAGGATGTGGTCATCGTAAACACTTGTCAAACTACCTCATAGTCCTAACTACCCCATAAGTCTTCAGCGGTTTTGGAGTATTCTGGCGGCAGCCGGGAGTGGAACAGGCACCAGGCGGTTCCGAACCAAGTTGATGAGAAATAATGGGAAAATGCAAAAATTCCGATAGTCCGGACCAATTCTAGTCCCCGGAGAAAGTTTGACCGAAGGTCTGGCTCGAATCTAGAGAGTGGGCAAGAAGGAGCAGATACAGCCTCCGAAAAGCTGTGAGAAGCAGGGCAGAGCACGCTATAGGTACGCTGGAGATTCCTGGCTCAAGAACCGTTTTTGCTTGTGTAGAGAGCGGTTGTATACGCCACGCCCTTTCTGCTCGACGCCACCTTCTGGTTATAAGTGAAGGGAATGGAAAAAATTTGGGAAAGTTAAACTTTCGCAGGAAGTTAAAAAACTCAGGAAAATGGTAAGTACAATGTAGGGAATGGGGTCGCACCGTGCTACCACACGAGGAAAAACAATACAAAATACATCGTACCACACGGGAGTCGTAATTTGCAAAAAAACTTCTCCAACGCCGGCATGACAGACAAACATGACGTCACATAGTTGCGCCGCAGCGTAGCCCACCTTAGCTAGCTTGGCCCAGTATAAATTTCAAGGCAGCGGTATAAACTCACATTTAATCGGGAAGTGTTGGCGATTTGTCCGAAACCAGCGGGAGCATATGTCGCCCATTTGTGAAGCTTTAGGGTTCTCAACAATTCTGATGACCTGGTCGTGCTCACCGCGACGCTGATGCATCCAATGGTACATACTACCACCAGCAATATTAGCCACAATTTGTCGATTACGTTCTGAAATAGGTATACTCATAAGATTCCAAAAAAGGCACAAATACAAGGTAAAGTGGTTAGAGATTTGAAGTGGTATTTCGCAGAAGGCATGTGGGCGAAACAGCAGAGCGTAGACTTCGTACCATTTGCTCACCAATGAGAAAGGTGCATTGCTCATCAATCTCCGCCCACATGCCCTTCGTGTAATGCCAGCTTAGGGACGGAAACTATAAAAACTCACCAGTTTGTAGGTGACAAAGTACGGTGTCCAGTTCAAGTTTGTGTATGCTGAGACAATCCGCTGGTAAGCTTCTTTCCGATCATAAATTTCTCCATACGACTTGAAAGAGAACACCACAAGAGGGACAATGAGCACCAGCCATGTCATGACAAATGGCACTGCTAGTGATACTATTTGCCACAGTGGAGTGATTTTGTCCCTGAAACAAGTTCTAGTTGCTTTTGCCTCTTTGTCAGGACCTTTTTCCCAGTTCAAAACTCCTCCTACGCTGATAATATGGGTCAAAATCGAGATCATTGTGT